CAGAACCAGTGACTTTAAGTTCGTGACATCTTACAATGACAACACACTGCCTGCTGACCAGACTCTGAGGAAAAGTCCTTCTGACTTTGCTGATGCGTTTGGTGATTGTGAGTCTTCTCCTGAGGTAGGAACATGCGTCACATATTACTCAGAGTATTTTATTTTTTGAGTCTTAACAATTCACTCAAAACTCTCACAAAAACCTGTACTTGCAAGTCTTGCCTTTTCTTTTTCTTTTAAATGACAAATTAATAATTTATAGTAGGTGAGCAAAGAAGATGTCCAAGTCAACATTTATTCTAAAATAATTTGTTCCAATACTCATGGAGTACACTTCTCTTCTTAGTTTAGGTTAAGTTCTTGTAGTACCTTTCCTTTTTGGTATGCAGATATTTCAAATTTGTTGATCTTTGAGAGACTCTTTTTCTGAAAAATATGTTTCACTTGATCACAATGCATTGCTGTGTCTCTGTCCATGGTGCTGAACATTACCTTTGCTCATAAGATGCAACCAACGTCTTCCTTTTCTTTCTATTCAAACATTTTAGATTACAGTTCCACTTACCAACTTGTCTTCCTGAGAAGACTCAATAAAAGCAACTTTATTGAGTCAGTAACTTTATGCAGGTGTAAGTAGTACAATTACAAATACTTAAAATTATTAAGTAAATGAATAGTTATGAAATGCAAGACGTCACAATCAAATGTTGGTTGAGAAACTGGCCAAACGGTAGTTTTAACTGGAAGTTTGATAGTTTTCATCTGGTGAATTTCTACACTTGGAACTAAACTGACATTTTAGCATATTCCTCACCCTTACCACAACTGTTTACATCTGTTTCTCTGTCCGTTTGTTTTCATTTTTGCCAAATTTCAGAACTGAATAATGAGTTGCATGGAGCACACTCAATATTTAACAATGTATATGTTTTTCCTTATGATGTTTGTGTTGTTCAATACTGGATATTCAAGCATAGATGACAACATCTGATCTCTCCTGATTTATCATTGCTGGAGTGTGATTACTCTGAATCAATTTGTCTTTGATTGCAGTGCATAACTTTAAGTTTTAAAGTGTGTTTAAAAGTATGCATCAGTTAAATTTACATCGACAACAGTCAACAGATAACCCTGAAGATTCATCTTGGTTAAAGTGCAGTAACATATTCTCACATGTTCAACATGTGCAAAATTAGGAAGTGGAAAGTGTTTTGTCATCGGATTTGAGCAAAAGGATAAATAAACCAAGTTTCTTGATTTTACTTGATCCAAGCTTTACCAGCAAATTGGGAATTTGAAGAAAGTGAATGATTAGGAAACAATCTCCACCATTTTATCATGGGGGATTTTTTTCACAACTCTCTTGCAATTTTCAATAAAAACAAAATAGATGTCCTTGCGTGTCTTCAGACATATTAAAGGTTGTTCAGTTTTTGATATCGTCAGACTGAAAGGTAGACTCTTCCTGAGATACGATTACAGCATTCCCTTGCTTAAATAGCTTTTTATGCATCAAGGACCAGTGAGAATATTAATTTGATTGTTTTGATTTAAAAAATATCAGAGAAAAGCTCGATTTTTTTAAAGCACAAAAAACATTTTGTTGTACCTGACATATGCTCATGGTGTCAGTGTGCACCAGTAAACAAGCAGTGATTCTCCACCCTTCAGTGTAATCGACTTTGAAGCCTGATTCTGCTTTTGTGCCGCATTTCACAAATACCGCTGCGTGTATGACTGGATTGTGACGTTTTTTGGATTATTACGAGGAATCACAGATGAGTCGTTGATACATTTTAACCTACTTGGGAATTATTTTAAGGAACATTAGCTTTTCTTAGCTATAACAATGGCATGCTGTAGATTTTCGCTGCACGGCCTGGCTTTCATTTTTCTTGCCGTCCTCCCCGTCAATGGAGACGTGAGCTACTCTGTTCCGGAAGAGATGAAACGTGGATCTGTAATCGGAAATATTGCAAAGGATCTGGGGCTTGATTTGGGCAGACTGTCCGCTCGCAAAGCCCGGATCGATACCGAGGATAACAACATTCAGTACTGCGGTGTCAACCTTAACAACGGA